TGAATTGAAAACCCTAACCCTGATGTGTGATTTTTTTTTACTAAGAAAAGAAAACGCAATAAACAAGAAAAAGGATAGCAAAACCTGACGATCCTAAGCTCTGATACCAACTGATACGAACCCTGCCAACAACATGACAAAACCCATAACCAAATATGGGATACGATTCAAGACCATCAAGAATTGATGGAAACCGTGACCCGTTGCTTAGCAAAGTAAGAACCTTGGTATGGTGAAGACACCACAAACGAGTATGAAAAATCCATTTGATAAGTCGAGTTGAATGCCACAAGGAAACCTTGATAAGTTCGGAATAGTTTCTTCAAGAACTCAAGAAGAATATCTCACAATGTGAATAAAAACATCAAGACTTCTTATTAATCTAAATTTTAGCCTTAAATAGCCAAAATAAGATGAAGAGTTTAAAAATTATAAAAGTCTTATCCTACCCCTAATGGGGTAGGTGCCTAAATGAAGATAAACACCTAAAGATAAGATAAAACACGCCTAAAGCTAATCCTAAGGAAGGAATCCGAATTTGAGTCTAACTCCTTCCTTTTAAACACGTAATTTGAAATTTAAATGTTTAAAACTAAACCTTAAATCTAAAAAGATAGAATGATAAAGAAATCAAGTCTTTATCTGCAATTGTACTTGATCCCTTGCTGGAAATTGCGCCTAAGCCTCTTGGTCTTGCCCTTACATGTGTATCTTGGAATGACATACGAATTGACCATGCAATGGCTTAGTGGACGTGTATATCTGAATGGCTTTCTACCGGATTAACTTTAATGAGTCAAACTAGCCTTTGTTCACCCTCAGTAGTGAACACTCTCTCTTCTTCTTGTAGAACTCTCCGGACTAGGTTATTCAATTCTTCTTTAAATCTTTTAGCTCGATACCTTGTCACCGGACCAACTGGGACTTAAATTGGATCGTAAGTATTCCTTGTATCTCTGATGTCCTCTTCACTACAGCCCCAAGGGGGGGTACTACGGCCCCAAGGGGGAGCCTACAGCCCAAGGGGGGTACTACGGCCCCAAGCGGGGGTACTACGGCCCCAAGGGGGGGCCTATGGCCCCAAGGGGGGTCCTACGGCCTGTAACGCCCTCTAGAATTAAGCATGTTTAATTATGATAATTGTAGTTTATTAGTGTGCCTAATTTGATTTTCACAATTAATTAAGGGACTTTAAATTATTTTCAGTATTTATGAATTTACCCCAAAAGTTTTTAAAAATACACTTAAATTTTAATACATTTTCCTTTTTCCATTTTTCTTTTTTCCTTTTCTTTTCTTTTTCTTTTTCCTTTTTCTTTTTTTTTCTTTTCTTCTTTTTCTTTTCCCTCCCTTCCTTCCCGTGGCTGTCCCAGCCCACACACTCTCTCTCTCTGGTTCTCACAGCAGAACATCTCTCTCTCTTCATTTTTTTTTCTTCCATGCCGGCCCTTCCTCCGGGATCTCTCTGTCCCGCCGGTCTTTCTCTCTCCCTTGCTCTCTCTCTCTTTGGGTTTCTCTCTCTTCCTCCCTCTTGGAGTTCCCTGCCGAAACAGGGAAGAAAGAAAAAAAAATGAACGAAAATGGGAGAAACTGAGGGAGACAAAGCTCCATCAACTGATTTAAGGTAAAACCCTTTGAAACCCACTCTTTGATTCGAATTTTAAGCTTGAAAAAGTTTGATTTTGTTAGATTTGAATAATTTTGAGTTAGGGTTTGGATTTGAAAAATTGTTGTTAGAATTGAATGAAATTAAGGGGTTTTCAATTATTGGACTTGTTTGGTTGATTGGAAACTGATTTTGATGGATTCTGGAGAATTATTTTGAAATTGAACTTGAATTGCAGGTTTGGCATTTTTCCTATTTATGCCGGCATGCTGCCGAAATTTCTTTAAAAACTTATTTTTAAACTGAAATTAAATAGGAAACCAAACCCATGGATTGGATTTCAAGTTTTAAAGAACCTCCAAACTGAATTATAAAATCATTTGTGAAACTTCGATTTGAGTCAAAGCACACTAATAGGAAACAATTAAACATGATTGAGCTTAATTCATTTTAGGAATGAGAAATACTTCCTAAGATATTGCTTTTGTGATCAAGCTAGTGGAGAAGGTCAAGTATTAAAGCTTTAAGGGAAGCAGAGGCTAGGAGAACGAAAGGCTAGCCCAGGTTTGATATCCAAAAGGTAGGATATTCTTGTCCATATCCTTGTTAGCCTCACTTTAAATGATTTTGGCGCATGAAAATATTTTAGAACAAAACATGTTTAAAGAAAATGATTTCAAAGGAGTAACATGAGAATGCTATTAAGTTTTCCAATGATTTTGGAAATGAGATTTTAAAGAGTATCATTTCTTAAAATGAAATATCTTAAGAAATGATACAAAGCATGGTGGCCTCAGAGATCGGGATGTCGGAATCGCATCCTTGGGGGCAGGTCCCGAAACCCATACGGATCCACTTCTTGTTTAGTGAAACTATGGCTCTGCACTTTTCACTAGACAGACATTTTACCGCTTCTTGTTCAGTGGTGTGATGATCTGTACATTTTCATTTTTCAGATTTTTTCTACTACTATGTGAGTATTTCCTTTTTCTAAAAAAAAAAGGATGATCAGTTCCGGGTGTATATCTTTGGACCATGAGTACTTTTATTTAAAAATGTTTTATAAGATTATATCCTATTGGGCCTTCCGCTCACTTTGATTATGTTTTCAATGTTTTAAACCTCTCCTCTAGAGTTGGCTGTTTAGATTTGCAGCGTGACAAATGGATGCCAATAGATTGAAGGTGCGAGATTCGAAGCGGCACGTTTGTTTCAGATTTACGATTTTAAATTCTGAGAAGTACTGTATTTCTGTATGTGAACTGTATTTGGTCGACATTATCCCTGAGTTGTACTATTTTCATTGGACTTTATGGACTGTTTTAAAGATTATTTGTGAAAGAAAGTCTCCGAAGCAAACTACATTGATATTTATGTATTTATTTTTGTGATTTTGTTAAATAGTCCAGTTTAATTAAGTTAAATTTTAAATTAAATCCCAATAATCACGGCCCTATCCTTGGGGTCGTGAAAATTTTTGGTATCAAAGCACGGCTTCAAATTCTATGGGAAATCGAGCATGTGTGAGTTTTTACTGAGTTTTGTTGTTCTTTTAATTGTTTTGTGTCGGGACATGTCGTACAATACTAGTCAATACATTATACAGTTGCATTTGAGAATTTGACGTTAGAGTCCGTTTCATATTCCTAGAGCACTTTGATGGATGGAATCCATGTTTCTATTATCGATGTTTATCGATATGAAGATCGAGGATAAAGTTGACTTTGAAGTTTTCAGGAAGTATTGATTATGACCCGATGGTTATTGATTTATTTCTATAAGTGCTCTTAACTCTTGTCAGTTTCAAATTCAAAATCAGTATTGACTTCAAAATTCTCATGAAGATTTCAGTTTTGAGATGATATTCATTCCGACTTCCGCGTAGTTGAATTCTCGATATTAGTCCCTTCCACTTTTCGACACGTCTAACATGAGGGTTTAAGTTGATGGAGAGCACGACTTGAAATCGAGCAGTTTTGATCATTAATGTTTCCTTCCTCCTTGATTGGTTCTTCCAATTTGATTAATACGTGATGAGTTGAATATGTGTTTACATTTGCGTTTTCCTAACTCATTATTTTGTGAGTTTTTAGGTGTTTTTAGGAGTTATTTATGTGTTTTCAATTTATTTTGTAGGTTTGTTTCAGTTGGAGTCCATTGGTGATTTTTGGGAATTTTTGGAGCAAAATTGAAGAATGGGCACTAAGGCTTTATAAAGGGGCACCTAGGCTTTGAAGATAGAGGAAAAATAAGTTTTCCAGTACAACAAACCCGAGAGCAAAGCGCCTAGGCGCCATAAAGTGGAGCCATGGCTTCAAAAATAAATTCTCCAGTACTACAAACCCGAGAGCAAAGCGCCTAGGAGCCATAAAGTCGAGCCATGGCGCTACGGAGAAGAAAATCATAAATCGTAAATTTGCCGAGCAGCGCCATGGCGCCCAGGGACAGAGCCATGGCGCCACTTCGAATTTCTGAAGGCCTTTGTTATGGCGCCGTGGCGCCATTGAAGCAGAGCCACAGCGCCAGTTCAGGATTTTCATGTTTTAATCTCTAAATAATTACCAAAAGTGCCATTACGACCCCGAACCTATAAATAGGAATTTTTAGACTCACTTACGAGGTAGTTAACTTGAAAAACTTTCTTAACACAATCGTCGACAATGTCCACCTTCAAGCAACTTTCTGCGTCATCTGGGTACTTCATCGCCTTTAAAACATTAAAAGTTACCTGTTCTTCTTGAAATCTTAGGATAAGTTGCCCTTTCTGCACATTAATAAGAGTTCTCCCAGTGGCTAAGAACGGCCTACCAAGAATAATTAGGATTTCTTGGTCTTCCTCCATATCAAGAACAATGAAATCGGCCGGGAAGATGAACTTGTCCACTTTTACTAAAACATCCTCGATGATTCCCCTTAGATACTTAATTGACCTATCTGCCAATTGTAGAGAAATTGTTGTCGATTTCGCTTCCCCCAAACCTAACTTCCGATAAACGGATAGAGGCATTAAGTTGATGCTAGCCCCCAGATCACATAGGGCTTTGTCAAAGAATGAGTTTCCGATGGTGCACGGTATAGTGAAACTCCCGGGGTCTTTTAGCTTAGGTGGCAACTTCTTCTGCAATATAGCACTGCACTCTTCAGTAAGTGCAACTGTCTCATACTCTTCCAGTTTTCTTTTGTTGAAAAGGATTTCCTTCATAAACTTCACGTAGCTGGGCATTTGTTCCAGAGCATCGGCAAATGGAATGTTAATATGCAATTTCTTAAACACATCAAGAAATTTAGAAAATTGCTTATCTAACTTTTACTTCTGAAACCGTTGAGGATATGGAATCGGTGGCCTGTGTGGTGGAGGATTATCGGGGAAAAGCTTTGACTTTGGCTTCTCCACTTATTTTAGAGGCTCCTTCTCAGTTTGATTAGGCAACTCTTCTTCTTTCGTTGGTTCATCAACAACTTCTACTCCGACGGGATCGCTTAACTCCTTGCCACTTCGAAGAGTTATGGCTTTAACATGCTCCTTTGGATTAGTCTCTGTGTTGCTTCGTAGAGAGCCTTGAGGACGTGTAGTGAGCATTTTTGAAAGTTGACCAATCTGGACCTCCAAGTTTCTGATAGACACACCTTGATTTTGAATAGCCGTCTCTTGTCTTTGAAGTGTAGCATCAATTCTTGTCATAAACTGACTTGTGTTAAAAGAAAGTTGAGCAAGATTAGGCTGTTGAGGTTGAAAGACAGGAGCTGGCTTTATCACATTTTGTTTATTCTTCCATGAAAGATTCGGGTGATTTCGCCATTCTGGATTATATGTGTTGGAGAAAGGACTATTTTGCTGCCGCTTGAAATTTCCAACAAAGTGAGCTTGCTCAGATTGATGAGGAGTAAATGAGTTGCCAACTGGACATTCGTTACTTGCATGGTCTCCACTACATAGCTCGCATACCTCCGGTACAGTGTGTATGGCATTTGTAGTTAGTGAACCCAACTGCTTAGATAATGTGGCTACTTGAGCAGTGAGTGCGGAGAGAGCGTCAACTTCATGAATTCTGAATGGTCTCTTTGGTGTTGAACGTTCCACTGGCCACTGATATGCATTAGCAGCCATATCTTCTAATAGTTCATAGGCCTCTTCATGTGTCTTGCTCATGAAAGTTCCACCTGCTGTTGCATCTACCAGAGTTCTAGTTGTTTCATACAACCTATTGTAAAAAGTGTGCACTTGAAGCCAATCAGGTAATCCGTGGTGAGGGCATTTTCTCAAAATTTCCTTGTACCTTTCCCATGCCTCATAAAGCGATTCCATGTCATGTTGAGTAAAGGTGGTAACGGCATTCTGCATCTTGGCTGTTTTTACAGGAGGAAAGAACTTTGCTAGGAACTTTTGGGCCAAAGCATCCCAAGTAGTAATGGTTCTCGGCAGAAGAGAGTTTAGCCAACTTTTTGCCTTGTCTTGAAGTGAAAACGGGAACAATCTCAGTCTAATGGCATCATCAGAAACACCATTATTCTTAAAAGTGTCACAGATTTCCAGGAAGCTAGCAATGTGGGCGTTAGGATCGTCATTGGAGAGCCCACCAAATTGGTTAGATTGCACCATTTCGATAATAGCCGGCTTAACCTCAAAGTTGTTGGCTTGAACTGCAGGCCACCTTATACCTGAAAGTGCCTCATTAACAACGGGCATTCCATAGTCACGTAATGCCCGATTGGTTACAGCTTGTTGCTGGTTGTCTCTAGCTCCTTACTGATTAACGTCATTTTCTACTCTTCCAGCGCCGTCCATGGTTTCTTGCAACTGTCTGATAGCTTCTCTTTTGTCCTTTCTATTCTTTCGACAAGTACGCTCGATATCTGAATCGAAAGGAATCAAATTAGAACTTTCAGATCGTCTCATACACCTAAGAAAACGCCTGAAGAAAGAAAACACAAACTAGTGTAAATAAAAGAAAATAATTCCAAAGTAAAGTTAGAATTCTTAGTATCGATATTAATATTTGAATCAGTCCCCGGCAACGGCGCCAAAAACTTGTTACGTATTTTCGCAAATGCAAGTGCACGTTATCGTATCAAGTAGTAAAGTTCGTAGAAACGAGTATCGTCCCACGAGGACTGAATAATATTAATTACCGAAATTATTTCAATACTAACTTTATTTGAACGAAACAAGCAAGTGAGAATTTTTATATAAATAAAACTAAACAATCTAATTAACTATTTAAGTAATTATCAAAATTCAATATTAACAAGCTCTAGGGTTTCCGATTTCACCAAACCATTCCGCCTTGAATTATCTATCTAATCAATCTTAAATTATTCCCCTTAATTGACAGTCAAAAATCCCTAAATTAATCGATACTCCCTTCTGAGTTACATAAAAAAGCTCCTTGATTGCTAACCCACTATATTCCTATGTGAATTTCAAACAATTAAAGAGTCATTAAGTTTTATGGATTTCCATGTAGCAACCACACCAACCATGCAAGTATATCCCTATCTTACATGCAATCAATGGAATTCAACACAATGATCGAAAAACATAAATCTCCTTCCGGTTTCATTATGAATTAACTAATCATCCAATTAGTGGCCAATTAATTAGAAGCATTAAGAACAGTGATGAAAACTCAACTAGGATGAATAATTCTTTGATTGATATGATAACATAATTCAAAACATCATGATCCGGCTACATCGTAGCCCTAGAATAGGAAACTTAGAACATAATGAAAAGATAAAACATCTTAACAATATTCTTAAACATGATAAGAGAAGAAGAAACTATTTTGATGAATTGAAGCAGAATTCCGTTCCCGGGTGATTCATCTTCTCCTCTGTAGTAGAAAAGTTCTCCTTTCTCTTTTCTAAGTCTCAGCATGACCTAATTGAGTCTAAAAATTCCTATTTATAGGTTCGGGGTCGTAATGGCACTTTTGGTAATTATTTAGAGATTAAAACATGAAAATCCCGAACTGGCGCCGTGGTTCTGCTTCAATTGTGCTGCGGCGTCATAACACAGGCCTTCAGAAATTCGAAGTGGCACCATGGCTCTGTCCCTGGGCGCCATGGCGCTGCTCTGCAAATTTACGATTTACGATTTTCTTCTCCATAGCGTCATAGCTCGACTTTATGGCTCCTAGGCGCTTTGCTCTCGGGTTTGTTGTACTGGAAAACTTGTTTTTCCTCTATCTTCGAAGCCTAGGTGCCCCTTTACAAAGCCTTAGCGCCCATTCTCAATTTTGCTCCAAAAATTCCCAAAAGTCACCAATGGACTCCAACTGAAACAAACCTACAAAATAAATTGAAAACACATAAATAACTCCTAAAAACACCTAAAAACTCACCAAATAATGAGTTTGGAAAACGCAAATGTAAACACATATTCAACTCATCAATGCGCAAGTTTAGTCTTGCAATCTAGCTTTGTATCCTAGCTACTCATTTCAATTCATTGATGCATTCTTTTATCTCTTAAGAGTGTTTTGCTCAAGAGTGTCTACTTCATGGGTTCTTGTGTCGATGAGACATCGTTCTTTCTTCTATTGATGATGATGGTGGCTATAGACTCTGTCGAGAGATTGACATTTATCTCTGATATTATTTATGTTCGACCTTGTTTGGAAGCGTAGTAGGTCATAACCCACAGATTCTAGGATTCCAACTTGAATTCTTTTCTTAATCTATTATGACCGGGAGTTGGTCTCTTCGTTATTATTAGTGTATTGATTATTGAAATTTTTCTATCATAGTCCCATGTCACTCAGGAATCGAAATTCTGCCTTGTCTCGAGTGCTAGTCTCGGTGATTTCCTCGTTAATTTGAACCGTGTCATTGTAAGACATTTGTTGGCCACCGAATCGAATTCGGATGCGGAAGCGTGGGGGGAGGCGGATCGTGTATAACAAAAATTTTCATAAAACCTTTGAGATAATCTATAGATTATATTAATTTATGCACGAATAAATTAATCACATTAATTTATTTATTAAGAACTCAATCACGAATAATACCTGGTGGTCAATTAGGATGATAACTTGAGTTCTTTGACCTCGAACAATCCCTGCTCCAAAGCTTTGTGTTTAGAAAACCAATGTCTTCCACGTCAATTCCTAGAATCTACGAAGACGTGTATGTGGGCACACATGAGACCAAATAGGTTAGAATAAACACTCGAATTTCCACAAACACCAACGCATGCACGATGTGGAATTTTTGGAGAAAATTTTTTCCTTCCCTCTAAGAGAATTTCGGCCACCCTATTCAAATTAGGGCAAAAATTGTTTCAAAAATTGTCTCTCATAATTTTCTATCATTCTCTTATTTATAGAGTAGAAGTCAAACTTCTAGAAGGAATTTAATTTCTATCTCTAAGATAAAGCTTGTTAATTATCTCCTATTTTAATTTGAAACAAAATCTCACATTCCCTTATCCTTAGTGTGGCCGGCCACCTTAGGGAATTTTTATCCCTATGTGGCGCCAATTTGCAGATAAGGAAGGAAGAGAAAATCATCCTTTATCCTGTAGTCCAATTTTGACTCAAATTCTAATTCTAATTTAAGTCAAACTTAAATTAATTTGAATTCTAAATTGAACAACTTATCAAATAAGTTTAAATGGATAAATCTAGACGTGTTCAAATTTAAATTTAAATAATCACATTATTTAAATAATAATTAATTCTCAATTAATTATTTTCGAGTATTTAATTTTAGAATTCTGTAATTCTAAAATTCCCATTTTGCCCTTTGTGTCTGGTAGAATTACAAGGACGACGCGGGGACATATGGACCTATAATTCTGAGCTCCAATAAAATTAATAATTAATTAAACACT